AGACCCCTCCTGGGGGGCCCTCGAGCCCCTCAAGTCCCCCCAGATCCCTCCAGGAGGTCCCTCCAGCCCCTCAAGCTCCCCCAGACCCCTCCAGGAGGTCCCTCCAGCCCCTCAACTCCCCCCGATCCCTCCAGGAGGTCCCTCCAGACCCTCAGGTCCCCCCAGATCCCTCCAGGAGGTCCCTCCACCACCCAAAGATGCTCCATAAGAACCCCCATCTCCCCTCCAAGACCCCACCCCAAGTCCCCCCAGCCCCTTCCCACCTTCTCCTCCTCCACTGCCTCCTCCACAGGGACCACCCCGTGGACCTTGTGAGCCTGAGACTCACGACAGACCACGCAGATCAGGGTCTGGTCCACCTGGCAGAAGAGCTTGAGGACTTCCTGGTGCTTCCAACAGACCCTCTTCTCCCCTTCTTTAGCCACCACCTGCAGGCTCAACCTCTTGGCCACCTCGATGACCTTGGCCAACTCCCTGTTGGGCCTGAAGTTCCTGGTGGGGGCCGTTTGGTGGCACCTGGGGCAGGTGAAGTTCTCCTTGGTCTCCTCCTCCCAACGCCTGGAGATGCAGCTGAGGCAGAAGTTGTGGCCACAGTGGATGGAAACGGGGTCCTGGAAGAGGCTCTGGCAGAGGGGACAAGAAGCTTCTTCACGGAGGGTCTGGGTGGGGTTGGTGGTCGCCATGGTCCTGGTCCCCCTTCCCCGGGGTGGGGTGACTGAGCTACTTTCACTTTCCACCTTCCCCTTCCTGCCCTGCCCCCCCCCCGGGCTCCCCCAGGGGGGGTGAAACCTGCTGAGGTGCAGCAGGAGTCGCTCTGGGTTTGCTCTGGTTTTTGCTCCCAATTTGCCCTGGTTTTGGTCCAGGTTTTGCTCCAGGTTTGCTCTGGATTTGCTCCCAATTTGTTCTGGTTTTGGTCCAGGTTTGCTCTGGTTTTGATCCAGGTTTTGCTGCCCTGCCCCCCCCCCGGGCTCCCCCAGGGGGGGTGAAACCTGCTGAGGTGCAGCAGGAGTCGCTCTGGGTTTGCTCTGGTTTTTGCTCCCAATTTGCCCTGGTTTTGGTCCAGGTTTTGCTCCAGGTTTGCTCTGGATTTGCTCCCAATTTGTTCTGGTTTTGGTCCAGGTTTGCTCTGGTTTTGATCCAGGTTTTGCTCCAGGTTTTGGTCCAGGTTCACTCCAGGTTTGCTCTGGTTTTGCTCCCAATTTGCTCTGGTTTTGCTCCAGGTTTTGCTCCCAATTTGCCCTGGTTTTGCTCCCAATTTGCTCTGGTTTTGCTCCCAATTTGCCCTGGTTTTGGTCCAGGTTTTGGTCCAGGTTTGCTCTGAATTCATTCCAGGTTTTCACCAGGTTTGCTCTGGTTTTGCTCCTAATTTGCTCTGGTTTTGGTCCAGTTTTTGGTCCAGGTTTTGGTCCAGGTTTGCTCAGGTTTTGCTCCCAATTTGCTCGGGTTTTGATCCAGGTTTGCTCTGGTTTTGCTCCAGGTTTTGCTCCCAATTTGCTCGGGTTTTGCTCCAGGTTTGCTCGAGTTTTGCTCCCAATTTGCTCTGGTTTTGCTCCCAATTTGCTCTGAATTCATTCCAGGTTTTTGTCCAGGTTTACTCTGGATTTGCTCTGAATTCATTCCAGGTTTTAACCAGGTTTGCTCTGGTTTTGCTCCCAATTTGCTCCAGGTTTTGCTCCAGGTTTGCTCCCAGTTTGCTCTGATTTTGATTTGGTCCAGGTTTTGGTCCAGGTTTTGGTCCAGGTTTGCTCTGGATTTGCTCTGAATTCATTCCAGGTTTTAACCAGGTTTGCTCTGGTTTTTGCTCCAGGTTTGCTCGGGTTTTGCTCCCAATTTGCTCTGGTTTTGGTCCAGGTTTTGGTCCAGGTTTTGGTCCAGGTTTGCTCTGGATTTGCTCTGAATTCATTCCAGGTTTTAACCAGGTTTGCTCTGGTTTTTGCTCCAGGTTTGCTCGGGTTTTGCTCCCAATTTGCTCTGGTTTTGGTCCAGGTTTTGGTCCAGGTTTTGGTCCAGGTTTGCTCTGGATTTGCTCTGAATTCATTCCAGGTTTTAACCAGGTTTGCTCTGGTTTTGCTCCTAATTTGCTCTGGGTTTGCTCCCAATTTGCTCTAGTTTTGCTCCCAATTTGCTCTGGTTTTGCTCCAGGTTTGCTCTGGTTTTGCTCCAGGTTTTGCTCCAGGTTTTGCTCCCAATTTGCTCTGGTTTTGCTCCAGCTTTTGGTCCAGGTTTTGGTCCAGCTTTGCTCTGGTTTTGGTCCAGATTTGCTCCCTCCACCCCCCATCCCTGGTCCCTCCACCCTTCCCAGCTCCATCCCTGGTCCCTCCACCCTTCCCAGTTCCATCCCTGGTCCCTCCAACCCCATCCCTGGTCCCTCCACCCTTCCCAGCTCCATCCCTGGTCCCTC